ACTTTGTAATCCTTTTTCCTCAGCTGTCTCATGTCTTTGCTGGTGGGAACACCTGAGAGGGTCATGTAAATGGTTTGCAGTTTTCAGGAAGCACTGTATCCTCTCTGTTCAGCACTGCTTTTCTGGGCTCCATTTTCCCTGGAGAGATGGCTTTTTCCATCAGTGTTGCCAAGAAACTGTTGGTTCTAAGAAACAAACCTGTAGCATTGTGTCTCAGACTGCGGTCTACACATCATGAGATGGCTGTGAACAGTGCAGTAAACATTCTGTACATCAGTCCCTTAATAAAAGCTGCTTTTTAACATTCTCCTCAACTCAGATACAACAGCACTGCTCACTGCTAAGTAGCATTCACATTGCACCAGAGGCACAGCTAAATCTTACTGACAAATTTTATAATCCCTTTCTTAGCAAATGAGCATAATTTGCGTTAGGAGAAAAAAAATCCAAATAACATCACATGGCACTAATTATTTACTTAGCTAAAAAAAAAAAACAAAACAACTAATGCCACCTCTGCTGACTTTAGACCTGCTGTAGAACATGTTGCTTCTAATATATATGATAGGAACTGGGAATGATTTAATAAAGTGGCATCTGTTCTCATGACTGTAAAGAGACTGAATTTTCATCAGCCCTTCCCAAGTGAAACCACTGTCCAGGGAACAGAGTAATGAAAAAAAAAATAGAGAAGAAATTAAAAAGAAAACCATAAAAAGACTAATAATAAAGAAAGAAGATGAGAAACAGGCAGTTCTCAGATCTTAACAACACAGGAACATTAGAAATGCCATGACAGTGGAAAATCAGAGAGAACAGGTCCAGAAGATGTACTAATGTGCCAACACATGCCTAGCACTTGCTCTCACACACAGCTATAAGCATAACAGCTATTAAATGAAGCATGACAAGAAACTGTGATTTCCTTTTCTCTTAATTTTTCTTTTTCTTCTTTTTTTGCCTATTCATGAACTTATTTTTTTTTCTTCTTTTTTTTACATTGTGCTGAGAGCAATTACATTTGGTGGCACAACAAGGAATGATTAAAAAAAATTCATCATTGTTTTGAAAAAACAAAAGTATCACCAGCAACCTTCAAGAGCAAACTATGAAGTACAAGATGAGTAAATACATCACTGGCTATACAATCTGATCCAAAGAAGATTTGAAGGGGACAACTAATCAGGGACAGAGCTATCAATCTGCTTGATCTTTGTTTATTGGCTTCATCTTCTTCTGTTGACCAAAACAGGCAACAGCATTTTCTTCTCGGGCTGTTTAAAATAATAATGTATTTTTTACACTCATACACAGTGAAAGGAGAGAGCCAGTCCATTTCACCTAACCTTTTTCTTTCTTTTGCAGACTATGCCCAAGTGTTGCATATTCATTACCACATCAAAAACACTTTGCCTGAGGTCTATATTTCCTGATGTGCTGTAATGGGTTCAGGACCCCAGCTGTCTACCAGGAGATTTAGAGCACTGATATTTAATAGTAAATTATAAGGTAGAATAATTCATGTTACATTTTCTTGCTGAAGTAGCATATTTATAATGGTATACTCTAGAGCCACTAAACAAAGATGAGAACACATCATTTCTGTTTGCACAACATAGTCTCCTAATTACTGTGGCCTGCCCTTAGCCACTTATATTTATGGATGCCAGCTCTGTTCTTAACCCATTGGTGGATCTCACTTAAGTCACATCTCCCACCATCTCCCAGTAAAACAGAGGAACAAACTGCAATATATTCCCAGCATGTTTATGGAAGCCAATTTTCAGCACACTTTACTAACTTCCAAACTAAAGCTTTGACAAGTTTTAAATAGAAGCAGAGCAACTAACAATACCAGGATGCTCTATAGTTAGCAATTTGTCAAAGTTTGCTGCTGAAATCCCACCATATCATTTCAGGGAAAATAGCTTCAAGCACAAACCCTGCTATCATCTGATAAAACACCTATAGACCCACGTTTCGACACCTCACAGCATCACGATTCCTCCGGGTTCTCTAATGACAATCTACTGCAACACAGCATCAGATCAGGACTAGGAAACTTGTAAAGTATATCAGTATTCTGGTAGGAAACAGCAGACTAACTTATTTTTCTCCAAGTAATGCCAGCTGTATTTAAATGACACTGATAAAACCAAGAGCAAAACCTGCATAGTGAATTAAAAGTAGTAAGAGCATAAACTCCAATAGATGCAAACTCACATGCTCTGTAAGCTGGTAGGAAGCATCTTTATTAGAGGAGTTCCTACTAATTCTTCTTCAACTTCATCTTTCATTTCTGCTTTCCCACTTAAGTTACACAAGCATGCACCTCGTTTCTATGTGGGTGTAAGATGTGATATTAAAGAAAAATAATAAATCACACAGTGGACTGGGTTGAAAAGAACCTTAAAGATCAAGTTTCAACCCCCCTGCTGTGGGCAGGGCAATCACTAGACCAGGATGCCCTGAGCCACATCCAGCCTTGCCTTGAATGCCTCCGAGGATGGGGCATCCACAACCTTTCTGGACAACCTGTTCCAATTGCATCATCACCCTCTGAGTGAAAAACTTCCTTCTAATATCTAACCTAAACCTCTCATCTCAGTTTAAGACCATTCCCCCTTGTCCTATCACTATCAAGCCTCATAAACAGCTGTTCCCCCCTCCTGTTTATATGCTCCCTTCTTCAAGTACTGGAAGGGAGCAATGAGGTCTCCCCAGAGCCTCTCCTCTCCAAGCTAAACAAACCCAGTTCCCTCAACCTTTTTTCATAGGAGAGGTGCTCCAGCCCTCTCATCATCTTAGTGGTCATCATCTGGACTCATTCAAAGAGCTCTGCATCTTTCTTACACTTGGGGCTTCGGGCCTGGATGCAGTACTCCAGATGGGGCCTCACAAGAGCTAGGAAGAGGACAGAGTCACCTCCCTCTCCCTGCTGGCCAACCCTGCTTTAATGCAGCCCGGGATATATTTGGCCTTCCTGGCTACAAGTGTTCTTGTTTCCATTCCCTCCAGTGCATTGACCATGCTGCTCAGCTTGGTGTCATCTGCAAACTTGCTGAGGGTGCACTTGATGTCATCATCTATGACACCAATGAAGATGCTGAAGAGCACGAGTCCCAAGACCAACACTTGGGGGACACCAATTGTGACCGGCCTCCACCTAGACACAGAACCATCCACCACAACCCTTTGGCTGCAACCAGCCAGTTCTTAATCCATAAAACAGTCCACCCTCTCCAATTAAGAGAGAAGGATGCGGTAAGGGACTATGTCAAAGGCTTTGCAAAGTCCAGGAAGATGACATCTGTTGTCCTTCCCTGGTCCATCGATGCCATCACCCCATCATAGAAAGCCACCAGATTGGTCAGGCAAGATCTGCCCTGGGTGAAGCCATGCTGGCTGTCTCAGATCTCTTCTTCATCTCATACATGCTTTAACATGTTAACAGTGAGGATCTGCTCCATGATCTTCCAGAGGTGAGGCCTGTATTTCCCCAGGTCATCCTTTCTCCCTTTCTTAAAAATGGGAGTAATGTTTCCCTTTTTCCAGCCACTGGGAATTTCACCTGACAGCCAGGATTTTTCAAACATGATCGAAAGCAGCTCTGCAACCACATCAGCCATCTCTCTCAGAACTGGCTCCATAGACTTATATAAATTCAGTTTCATTAGGAGGTCTCAGACATGTTCGACCATCATAGCGGGACAGAATTCGCTCCTCCCCCCACTCACGTAGAGGTGCAGGGTCCTGGCAGACATGAGGAGTCTGACCACCAGTGAAGATAAAGACAAAGCACTTACTGAGAAATTCAGCTTTTTCCATTTCTGAGAAAGCTAGTTCTCTATTCTCATTTATCAGAGGGAGAACACTTTCCTTGATCTATCTCCTCCTACCTACGCACCAGTAGATCCCCTTCTTGCTATCTTTCATAGCCAAATTCGGCTCCATCTGTGCCTTGCCTTTCCTGACCTTATCTCTACACAAGTAAGCAACGTCCCTGTATTCTTCCCAGGCTACACAACCCTGCTTCCACTTCCTGTACATTTCTATTTCCCCTCAGTTTAAACTGCAGGTTCTTGCTCAGCCATATGGGTCACCCGCCTCATCTGCTCCATTTCTTCTGGTTGGGGATGGAGAGCTCTTGTGCCCACAGAAAGGTGTCCTTAAAGAGCTGCCAGCTCTGTTCCTATACCCTTAACAACAGTTTCACAGGGAATCCCATCCAGCAATTCCTTGAGCAGCTATAAGTTTGGTCTCCTGAAGTTCAGAGTCCTGACTCTGCTTACTGTCAGGTCAGCATTCCTCAAGGTCACAAACTCCACCAAGGTATGGTCACTACAGCCCAGGCTGTCTCTAATTTTAAGCTCTCTAATGCTCTCCTCTGCAGCATTGGTGAGCTCCAGGCCTAGTAAGGCTTCACATCAGGTTGGTCCATTAATACTTGGACCAGGAAGTTATCCTCAGACTCCAAAAATCTCCTGGATTGTTTGCCACCCACCATGCCACTATCCCAGCAGATATCCAGCTGGTTGAAATCCCCCATCAGGACAAGAGTCTGTGAGTACAACACTTCTTGCAGTTGAAGCAAGAAGGCCTCATCAACAGGCTAACCCTGATCAGGTGGCTTGATCAGGAGACCCCAATCACCAAATGTCCTTCACTAGACCAATCCTTAATTTTAACCCATAAACTCTCAACCAGATTATAGCTGTTTCCTCAAACAGCTCTTCACAATCCATTCATTCACTAACTTAGATGGTAACTCCCCTTCCCCTCCTTCCCTGCCTGTCCCTTCTGAAGAGCCTGTAGCCATCAATCACAGCACTCCAGTCATAAGATTCATTCCACCATGTTTCCATGATAGCACGTAGGTCATACTTTTCCAGTTGCACCACAGTTTAACTCCTCCTGTTTGCTTTTTTTGACAGTACCTCACTTCCCTCTGCACAACCAAACAAGTGACAGAGAAATGCTTATAAAGGGGAAGAAATAACTGCACTTAAAACATTTGCTTTTATTTTCAAGCATTACAACTTTTACCCAAGTAAGAGAGTCAGCTCAAGGACCACCCAAAAGAAATACCCGCAAATAGGCTACAGATGACAGGTCACCTCTGAGTAAAGCCACTGTTTTCTTTCCCATAGAATACACAGTCAGCAATGGCTTTCTGCCTCCTCCTCCTAACAGGAAAGAGGTTTTGCTCTTTCCAGCATAGATGCACCCAAGCATTAAGTAACGCAACCAGACAAGACCCCACATCAAATAACACTAGATCCTCAAAGCTCACACTGAAGAGAGGCACTGATACTTCAGCAAACATGTGTTCACTGACATCTCAAAGCCCATAATCGCACGCTTCTGGACTGTTCTTGAAATAGAGCTGGAGGAAAACTCTGAGTGTTTGTGGGTCAGTGATCGTATCTTTGACAGCTGGGTCCTTCTTCATGGCCTCCATCCAGCGTTGGAGTTTTGGAGTATGAGTCAAAGCACTATGGGAAAAAAGAAAGAGTCTGAATAACACAAGCAGGAAATCAGGAAGGCTTCGAGGAAGGAAAGCAGCTTTAGAAGTTCTGTTTTACTGCTGGTTTTGCTTTCTCTCACAGTGTAACATTCAGCTCAGAGCAAGTGACAAGTATGTAACAGGTCATAGAAGATAGATTGGCATTTGGAAAGCAAGACAGTTCTTTCAGAGTTTGTTCACTCTGCAAAGCTGACAAAGAGCACTCAGTGGCGATTCTTTAACAAACACCCCTTCACAACTCACAAGCTTCTCTCCTCTCTCTAGAAGACTGAGATAAGCTGTGTAGCAGCTTCCATTAGTCTGCAACCCAGCAGCTCAAAATGCAGACAGTCTATTGAGGAAACAAGATACAGCCAACAAAATCCACAAATCCACTTGAACACACTTAAGTAGTACATGAGAAACTGAAAGCTTAATAGTGCAAACTTTTTTTGTTCTCTCCTGGTACGCTGACTTGAGGTATTCTGCATTCCAATCTCCAAATCCCAAGTTTAGTTAATGTACAGTTTTCCTAGGTGGCTCTTAATTCTTATTCAGAAAGCATCTTAACACACAGTGGTCCAGATACTTGACGTTCAAGCACCTTGGTAATTCTAGGCCTCTGGTCCTGCATAGCTTGTACCATTTCCCCTCCCAATCAAGGATCACACAGAAAACAAAGCAGAGCAGCAGCCCATCAAAGTCCTCATCTTACAATAGTTTTAATTCATTTGCAGGATTCCTTGCATCTTCCTCAATCTTCTAGAACAATTTAGTCACCAAGATGCATCAAACAGTTCTATACTCATTCTCCTAGTTCCAGATGGGATAGAATTAGTTTTCTTCCTAGCTGGTATGGTGCTGTACTTCAGGTTCAGATTTTGATGTTTCAGTTGTTGCGTAGCAGTGCTTACACTAAGGACCTTTCAGCTTCTCATACTGTCCTGACAGCAAAGAGACTGGGAGCGGGACAGAAGCAGGAGAGCTGACCCAGACCAAAGTGGCCAAAGGGACGTTCCTCACCATATGACAGTATGCTGAGCAATAAAACAGGAGAATTGGCCAGGAGGGCCACTGCTGCTCAAGGACTGGCTGGGCATTGGTTGGTGAGAGGCAAGCAATTGTTTTGTGCACCACTTGCTGTTTATTCTTTCGCTGTTGTTTTTCTTTCCCTTTTTAATTTCTTATTAAACTGTCTTTGTGTCAACACATGAATTCTTGCACTTCACAATTTTCTTCCCCACCTCTCTGAGCAAGTGTCTGCATGGTGTTTAGCTCTCCACCACATTAAAACAACACTCATTTTTCCATTTTATCACCCATGTCCTCATACAAGCTGACTCTTTGGCCCAGTGTTAAACCAGCTATAAAGCAGTTCTCCTCTGACGCCAGTTTCCTACATTATGTATTAAAAAGAAATCTATTACAAAAGGGACTGATCTTCTACCTATAGTAAGAGAGGACACATTTTATTCTTCACAGAACAAGTCTCCTGTCTCAGCCCAGGATTTCTGAAGAGGAGATATTCCATTTCAAGCCTAAAGTTTTCAATTAGCAAATTGAAACCTCAGCTTGTATGCCTGTAATGTCTTCCAATAAAGGTCAGTTTCTTCTATCTTGTACAAATGGAAATAAAGTCCTGTATTTTAACCACTACTTCCAGATCCGACAATTTTCAGGAAAACAGATCTGGTGAAAGGAAGCATTTATTCATAAGATCCCTACCCTGGTTTAGGACATTCACCCTGCCCCAAAACTGTAAGGAAGCTCACTGTTTCTTCAGCCAAACTTAAAAGCAGCCCTTTGCTGCAGCATATATTCAAATACACAAAAAATATACAGCAGCACTTTAGTAACATGCTAGAAGCCAGACAAGGTACTCACTCCTTCAGCTGGAATGCTTCCAGGCGTTCAAACCAGGGCCAGATCATGTAGTCAATCAGGGAGCTGGAGTCCCCACCATAAAACACAGTGTTGCGCTGAGAGAGAATCTGTGAGGGACAAGAGATAACAATTATCCTCAGAAAGAAGACTTCCACATCAGGAGACTACAGTAACTAAAAGCCACCATGAGGTGGAATGCAGGCATCCTGAAGCAATCTGACAGGAAATAATGCATGTACAGCATATTTCCCTTATGCATGCAATGTATGGGGAGTCAGAACTGGCAAGCAATGCAACTGTGATAGCAAATTTAACTACTTCATACACTGTCAGTCCACTTCTTCTCCAGAGCTGGTTCAAAACCTGCCACAAAATATCAATCATTAGGGATCTATACATTCCTTTTTTTTTCCTGCAGAAGCTATCTCCCAGAATTTGTTATTTAGTGATTTCTGACCTGTAAATAAGCTGCAATGGCTGAGATGAATTAAATATGCACATACATTTCTAGAACAACAAAGTCAGGTAAACACAACATCCAGCTAAAGTAGAAGACAGTTTTAGCAGGGACTCCTTTACCCATGGCACTTGAGTCCAGATAGTGTCAGGAAAATATTCCTAACATCGTATCTAGAACTGGATTTGATTTCAGACACAGGAGGAACAGGAAATATAACATCCACATGAAACAGAAAGAGATCTCCACAGTTCAGCACACACAGCAGCAGGACCACCAAAAAAGGGATATTTGCAGCACATTCTCCTTATTATACTCAATGCTTCTGTTATGTTTTAAGTGCCATAGTGATTCAAGCTTAACACTTTCAGGACTTTCCAGACCCAAGCTTGCTTTTTAGAATAGTCCCTGTTTTTAGGGGCTTTGGCATTTTTAAGATGGAATTCCTATGGCATTTAGGGCATCATACAGCTTGCCCCTCAGTCCCCATAATTTAACAGAAACTTTAAAGCTGTCCCTCCAAAAAACTCCTAATGCTGTTTAAATCACCAGGTGTCTAACAGAATGTTACCTGACAGTAGCACAGTTCCAGAGATAGAAACATAGCTCCCTCTATCGGGTAGCAGTAACACAATGCAATAATGTTTAAAAACGTGCCTTCTTGATTATTGCTCTACACAGAACTGCTTAGCAGTACCTATAAACACTGGCATGTTATCAACACTGTTTTTCTCCTAAAACCAAAACATAGTATCATAGCAGGCACTCTGAAGAAAAAAAAAAACAAAACAATTCCAGCTGAAACTAAGACAATATATATTACAGTGGACTGAGCAATGTTAGCTCAGCTCTGCCCCTGCCACCCTCAGTCAACCTACAGCTATAGAATTCATCAGAGTACATTAAATTAGAGACACAAAAGGAGTAACAAGTACTTCACAGAAATAACAAAGTGGGAGGAAGCTTCATTTCTTATTATTGTTCTATGGGTTTGTATTTCAGGACAGAGAAATGCACTTTGTTTCTCCCAAGAACTGAAGTATCAGCTGCACTATTCAAACATCAGCCTGATAGACAGATGAGAAAACTGAATGAAAGCAATTTTACTTTGGCTGCTTAAGGGAGCAGGGAAACAATGCATAAGAAAGTACTGGAAAGCTTTTGCAAGCTTTGCACCAGAAGAGACATGCTGAAGCATCAGTTCTTGCTCAAGCCAAACAAGCATTAGCTGTGACTGTTAAAAATGTATAAGTAATGGATTTGTGATAAGGACAAGTCGAGCAGCTCTTTAGGCTATCCAAGAACCACTACTGACACTAAATAAGGATTGTGAAGTTCCTAACACAAAAAAGCCACCTGATACTTCCTGGAGCTCAGCTGAAGTCACATTACACCACTGTAGCAGAACATAGCCCAGGGCTGGATTTCTGCAAAGGACAGATTACACTCAGTGGGATGTGGCTCAACCCAGGCCGAGGGGAATAAATTGAAAGATTGTCCACTGCTATAGCTATCACATGAATGAGAAGATATTTAGCTCCAAATGCCAAAGCATGAGAGGGGAAAACAAATAAACAAAAAAAGCATAACAAAAATCAGGGTTGTAGGTAAGAATAGCATAACTGCCAGGCTGCTTGCTATCATGAAATGCTCTTACCTCATCAAATTTGCCAAACTTCCCAGCTAATTCTGCCATCAGCGCTGTGAGATCACCTCCTTCTTTGAGTGCCTTGGAAATTACAGCTGTTATCTGTAAAAAGGAGAAAGTTTTCACAATACCTCTTGCAATAATGCAAGCAAATCACTTGGAGCTTAAGATGCTGAGATAGTTTGAAAAAGCTAAAATCCATGAATAAAATTATTTTATACTTCAGAAAAGGGAGCTAAAGAAAGATCAAATGCAAGTAATGGATTCTAGTCTTGCAGTAAGAGAACAACGAAAAGAGGAGCATGTTTCCAGTTGGCCCACATCCAGTAAAGTGGTACAGTGCAAAGCGATATTCTTTTCCTGGGTACACGCTCTTGAAAACCAAATGCACTTTAGTTATCAACATTAAGGGTACTTTTAAGAGAAAAATACGTAGCCCAAGATATGCAGGCTTCTACAGGCCTACACATTTTCTAATTTTGTAATTGCTAGAGAAATTAGTACACAGTACAGAATGCTGCCCTTTACTTATATTCTTCAAAGTTCATATATTTTTAAGATCTTGTTCACAACTAACATTCACAGCTGATTTCTTGCAGATGCTCTACCTGTAGAGCAGTTCCCATTACACTTTTTCAGAAAGGCCTGACGTAAACAAATTCCCCCTCCCTATGGCCTTTTATATTTCTCCTTCATTCACATTTCTCTTTGCATCTTCCATGGCTCTTCCTCTTCTGCTTCATACCCAAGCTGTCTTATTTTGTTTTATAGACCCTTCAAATATACATGCTTGTACTGTCTACATACAGAGCATAGGAAGCTTACTTCCAGTCTGCCACAAAGCCAGCCTCCACCTCATACTGAAAGCCAAAGCCATCCTCCTTATGCTAGTCCAGCTATCTCCCGGCCTTGGTTGCAGGCTCCTTCAGTCAGGCACTCTTCACATTCCACATTTATACAGCTCTAGTACCTCCTACAGGGAAACTCATTAACATACAGCAACTGTTACTGCCTAGATTCCAAGCATTCAACTAGTTTGGCCTATTAATGTTTCCTCTATTATAGGATGCTCAAAATCCTGCCTCAGACATACACATCTTAACCAGCTTAGCTATCTTCCTGAATCCATGCCCTTACGTTAATTCTGGATACAATTCAGATGCACAGTGACTTATGAGCTAATAGTAAGAAACTCCAGATTTCTCTGGTTATTTAAATGGCTCCCCTACACACATGACTTCTCCTCTGAAGTGATGAAAGCAGCATTGGCAATACAGCTACAGATTTTGAAGCTCTAATAAATTAAAAAGCACAATCCCACCATGATCACACAGTACCTTTGAGAAGTCTTCCAGAAGCATCTTCTGAAAGGCTCGCTCATATGGGTCTGAAGGCATCAGCTTCCTCCCTGGAAATGCTTCATCCAAATACTCACAAGTGATTGGGGACTCATAGATTATCTGGCCCTTGCTGGTCTCCAGAATAGGAACTAGCCCAGAAGGGTTCTTCTCAAAAATCCAGTCCGGTTTGTTCTTCAAATTGATGTTAATTACTTCATGACTAAAAGAATGAAGGAAACAAGACCCAAAGAGGTTCATCTCCATTGCAGTCTACACCACATGCAGTCATAACACTTCAATAGTTACAGTACTTAAAAAGCTGAATCCTCATTCTCTTGCTCCCCCTTGTCTTCCCTGAAATTCTTTCTGGGATTAACCACTTAACACTTACAAATACTGCCAGAAAGCACTTCTTTTCACAGAGAAAAACTGTGCTGACTAACAGTGACTTGGCTATTAAGCTAATACAACACAAAAACAGCCTCTGATAATCAGCCCTACCAGTCATGCTAATAACAAAGGTCAACCTTAGCACGCAGCACATGCTTATCATATGATAACTCAGGGACATTCAAAGAGGAACTTGATTGCAAGTAAGCCATAGCTGAATTCAGATCCACTTTAATCTAACTTTACATCAAAGGTCAAATCACAACAACATTCAAACTACTCACCTTCAATCTCTATGGCTTTACATAGGAAAGACACGCAGAATAAAAGCCAAATAGACACCGAATTAAAAAAACATATACTGAAATTTGTCTATTAGCAAAGTGTAAGTTACTTTCCAGCAGGACCCCCAGAAAATTCCCAGTAAACCCAAAGATTCACTAAACACAGCTAAACATTCAAAGTAAACAGATGTCCACCAAAAGGTACTTACCACCTCCAGTTAGCAATAAAAGAGATTCCCAGATCATTACACTAGAACAAGTTTCTTAGAGAGGTAAGATTCCATAGAAACATGGCCACTTTTCCTGTTTAAAAAGGTCACTTACTGCTACATGTTATAAGCGGCAGCATAACTACACACTGACTATTGCTACCCCTTAGCATCTCTGCCACAGCTTACACAGAAAGCAAACAGCACACTGTCATGCGAAAGTCACGCTTATTCAGAACAGGGTAAAACGCTGTGACTGCCAGCTGGGGAAAAAAGCCTTACCTGATGCCCTTTGCACGGAGAACGAGGCGCGTCCTCTGGGCGAAGGGGCAGAAGCGCATGCTGTACAGCCGGATCACCCCCTCGGGCACCGGCCCCGGCGCCGCGCTGCCTGAAGAAAGAACGGAGCCGACCGTTACAGCTGCGATCCGCGCCTCGGCACGAGCCGCCCGCCCAGCTGGTGCTTACCCTTGCCCAAGCTGCGAGAATGATCGCCTGCCATGCCGCCACACCGCACCGCAACGCACTAACTGTGCACCACCCCGCAACGCGCGGCACTTAACGACGCCGCCGGCGCCGGCCCCGCCCCGGGGCGGCCTTTGGATGGGAGGGAACCGCGGCCGCGCAGCCCGTGCTTCCTTCCAACAGAGCCGAGGAGCTTGGCCGAGGTGCGAGGATTCGCATTCCTCTGAACGTCTTTCATAAGCTACCTAAGCTGACCGACAAGCCCCGAAGTAAAACGCTTCCATTCCAAAGGCTCCCCAGAGCGGTGCCTTACGTGGAAATGGCATTTCATAGGCAGCAGCTCCAGCTGAGGGGAGGGACAGCCCCCGCCATCCTGCTGGTGGGCAGATCTGTCACAAATCCGTCTGGGCTGGCAGAGAACGTGGAATTTCCTGAGACTCATTAGAGGATTCACGTTCCCACAGCGGGGAAGCAGGTGACTTTTACTTTGGTCTTGTCACACAAGAGCAGCATTTCTGATGCAATCCTTCCTGCAGGCAAACACTGCCATGGCCGCGAGGAAAGCAGCCGCACACCTGCCAGCACTACCTGCTGGGAAAGAAGAAAGTGATTTTTTGTTGAGTCATTGCTGTTTGGTTATGCAACTAATAAGCAATGCAACAGTGGAAGGGTGTGGTAATTTCCTGCACAGCAGACGCCCTTTATCAACAAAATAATTTCTCCCACCCCTGAGAGAACTGTGTGAGGGATCACAACCTACTGTTAGTATGGTTTCAGCAATATTTTGGGTCATTAAAAAGAGGTTGGAATTTCTTATAGCCATTTAAGACTCCATCAGTCTGATAAACTGTGACCCAGAGAAAGGAAGGTTGAAACCCAAATGTTGCAAGGGCTGCCTGCTGCAATAGGCAGATGCCATGGAGCCAGAGTGTGAGTGCATGCTGCCATAGCACAGAGGAGCAATAGCAAAAGTAAGAAGCTGTAACATCTGCTTAGGAAAGGGAAACATGAGCTTCTAGTGCTAACTGCTTAAAAAGTACTTGGAGATTCCTACTGTGCTGCAGCACTATAAACTGTAAACGTGCAGATAAATGTCGTAACTGTCCTTCCTCCTCTTTCCAGCTGACATTCGCTCCTCAGCCTTCAAAGCTCCAGCATCACTATCTCAGCAACCCAAGAAGAGCTGAGGTGTGGTGTGTGTGAGGGTGTATGCTATGCAGGAGGTGTACCACTATGCAGGAGAAGTGAAGTCATAGGGAAACAGGTACACCTCACCATGAGAAAGGCAGCATGCCATTGGAACAAGGGTAGCAATGGCATACCTGGGGCAGGGTGGCCAGGGCAATGAACCTGCAGCCTTTTCCCCAAGGCTGACTCGGATAGATCTGCAGCCACGATTACCGAGTTAAGAAACTCAGGGCAGACAGAATTCTCACAGGTCAGCAATAGAGATAATAGATAATTGCCCAGGTCAAAGTAGAATTACCCTTGGGTCAGGAAGAAGAGCTGGTCGTGGTCCAGAGAGGTCTTTTAATTACATGATAATTAAGATTACAAAGAGCAGAACTGCACACCCTTGTATACAAGCTACATTGCTGTAAGTGCGCTGGCCTTTTAAATCCTCCCCACTCATACTCTCGCGCGCGCTCGTTGGTTGGTTGGTTGGTTGCTGCAGGTGCACGAGCCAATCAGCTGTCTGCTTTCATCTTGGTGCGTTTCAGGAGCCGTTTCAGCTAATAGCAGCAGCCGTTCTTGTTTCTAGGAGACAATGTAACAAGATGGCGGCCGCCGGTGAGGAGAGGCGCCAGGGTAGTCCGCAGCGCGGCGCCGAGGCCCTGGGGGGCCGCCGCTGCTCCTCGCCTGAGGAGACCACACTGGAAGTGAGGTGGGGGCCGGCCGGCCGGCACAGTCAATGCCTCTTGCGTCTCACAGCCGAACCCGTCGGCCTCGGCAGGGCGCGTCATGTCTTCTCGCCTGGCCCCGGTCCCTCGTGCTCTAAATTAGCCCTGTGTGGTTGTCGGACAGGAGTGCAGATAAAGGAGGGGTGCTGCTGTGTTCTAGGTCTGTGTTAGTGTGGCGGGTAGAAGGAAGAGAGAGGGAAAGAAGCGTTGAATAATTGGAACTGAGCTCTTGGTGGATTTGCATTAACCTTGGGTTTTGCTTACCTCCTATAGCAAAGAGATTCTGAAAGGAGTATAGGAGTAAGCAGCTCTGACTAGGTTTATGTTAGAGCCCGATGAGATAATAAGTGAGGCATAACTTGTTTATTCCTGTGTTCCTGTTCTGGCATCTGGTACTGTGAGCCCATATGCTTTGGTCCTGTTTGTGGCTGCTTCCTTTTCCTGTTTTACCCAAATCACATCAACCTCTGAACTTTCCAGAGGTTGCTCTGTACCTCCTATATCACACCATTGTTTCCTGCCATAGCTTTTAATGTTTCTTTTATTTTCAGTCCTCAGTCCTCTCAGCAGTGTAAACTTGAATGAATTTTTCATAATAATCTTAGGCAGTTTTTTTTTGTCTGTGTGATTTTTTTTTTTTTTTCTTCCACATAATGGAAGAGATACTTAAGCTTCCTTATCTGGTAAAGTATTTTAGCTGTTTGATCATATTCTATAGCTAGGATGAGACTACCATAATTAGTAGAACTTCAGCTTTAATATATGGTAACTGTCGAGTCTCAGCCTGAACCACTGATTGAGCACCTGGGGAAAGGACCTGGTCAGCCCTGGGAGAAGCAGAGGTGAAGGCAACTCGGCTGTGTGACCAGAAGGGGTGGAGCCTGGCTCCAACTCTCTTAGACCTCGTTTAAGGGCTGACTGTCAGTGGTGTAGGTTCTCTGGTAGGAGATCCCTCATTTGTGGGGTTTTTCCTGTGAGTTTAGGTCTTCAGAGACAGGTGAGTGCTTTCCCTTTTTCTCTGGAGCACCTTTTTATCCTGCTTGTCCCTTTGTCATTACATTTCCTGTATTGCTGTTCCACCATACTGCTCTTTCTGATTGTTATGCTTAAGTGTTCTGATATTTACAGAGTAAAATAATATCAGCTGAAACATGCTGTTCCTATTTCAAGAAAAAATCTTGTGCGAAGTTAGTGTTTGTGTAAAAGGGGCTGGAAAAATGCTCATCAGCTGATATGTCTGTGTTTTGTTGCCATGGTATTCAGTTCATTAGTAAGGATAAAAAGTCAATGTGTCAATCCTCTCTGCCTACATTTATTCTTCCTGTATGTAGCAGAAGAGGCAAAGACCTCTTTCAGCCTAACGCTGTTATCTGGAAGATGATAAAAGGTAGGAAGAAATTAGAAGGGATGGTACTACAGTGGTGTTGTACGCAGAGGATAGTAGTATGCTGAGTAATTGTTGCTATGTTCCTATCAAACTAATATGTGACTCAGATGTCTTAACTGAGAGCTAAATGCAAGTTCCTGTGATAAGGGGATGCTGATGTTGATTATCTATGTACTTTCTCAAAGGTAGAAACTTCTGCAGGTAGTTAAGAATTTGCTGACAGTGTAGTTTCATAAGGTGACTGCTCTTCAGTGATTTGCTTCAGTCCCTGTGTAGCACAAGCCTGTTTTACATTCCCTTTTCAGGTGGGTTTTTTTTTTTTTTTGAGAAATGTATGTATGTAGCTGTTCTAACACTTACTTTTTCTTAAGTTGGGTTCAGGGATTCTCAAACAAGAACTTTGGCTTTATCAACAATCAAACTGTCTGCTACTCCTGTGGCAATTACATCCTCTTCTTGGACATTAAAACAAAGAAGACAACAGCACTGCAGTGTCGGACTGGCCAGGTGGGAGCCTTTGCAGTGAACCCCAACTATGGAGTGCTGGCCTTTTCAGATCGGAAGCTGAATCCTGTCATATATATCTACAGTTTTCCAGAGCTGAATAAACTGACAGAGTTAAAAGGTAGTGGTGTGGTAACTGTCCTTGTCACCATTTCATTAAAACAAAACTTTAAGCAACCTGTTTCTGAGGGTATTTTGTTTCTGTAAGGCTTGAGAAACTGTGACAGGAAGCTTTCTAACGATAAGAAGTGCAGGAAGTAATGTAGGACATTTTCTGCTGCGCTGTTTTTTGTGAGACTCAAGCTAGGCAGGCATATGACAATACAAAATTGAGCTGTTATGAGGAGAAAGCAAATTGAATGAATTTGAATTAATTACAGGAAGGAGTTGTCTGAATAACAAAGAGAAATCATATTGTGCTAGGCTTCCAGGCAGACTGCTGAGGTGGTCTGACATGGAGGCATCTGAGCTGTGAATTATGGTTCTTGTGGTTCAAGTCAGGAGTCTGTGATCTAATGTATGTTTCTTCCTGTTCCGTGTCATTGCCCTCCTTAGTTAATTTGCTTACCGTCTCCATGGTTCAGTTTCCCTGCCACTTAAGTGAGGATCATAATGCTTCCTTGCCTCATGTAGATGAATGAAATTAGTTGCAAAGGATTGCCTGTTAATTGGGGAAAAAAAGCACTTTGCAATTCAATATATTAGTGAAAGAAATGGAAAAAAAAAAAATCCACAACAGTGACATTTTCTGAGTACTTATACGGTCTAATCAAAACAATCTTGTGAAAGCAAAGGAATCACAGTGATAAAGAATATCTTTGGAGAGGTGAAGTGGATATAAAAAAAAACTGACAGGAGAACTTCAACTCTTACACTATACAGTGAAGTCTGCAGTAATTAGAAATTATGTCTTTATTTTTGTTTTAGGTCACATTCAGTTGGACTACACCTTACTTGCATTTAGTTTCTTGGGTCCATATCTAGCCAGTTACTCTTCATTTCCAGACTTTGTTCTTTCAGTATGGTAAGAATAAAATAACCATCTAATATCACTTGCATTTAATAATGCTTTTGTATGTGTGTTCTCTTAGCATAAATTAAAGTAACAAATTTGAAAGATAAACTTTCATCTCTTTTTTTTTTTCCTGATGATCACTGTTTGCAAAATTCTGCCATGTTTGCTGTTTTTTTTCTAGTGCTAGTAGTTCATGGCCAGAATGACTGTTACTTTGCCATAGCTGTCCTCTAGCTTCTTAAAAATGTTGTATTTTTGAGTCCTTATGAAGTCTGTAGCACCAGCTAATTATCTGTTCTTCCTT